CTAGGGAATTCTGGGAGTTGAAGTCCACATGTCTTAAAGTTGCCAAGGTTGAGAAACACTGACTTAAGTAATGCAATATTACTCCAAAAATTTAAATTCATAGTTTAAAGAACACTGAGAACAATCAAAACTTGTCCTAATACTACTGGAGGTCGTTAGCATGAGGGAGGCTGGTATCCCAGCTTATTATAAGGATACTGCAGGAATTAGCAACTTTTTCAAGCCCAAAATAAGGTTTGGAATTTCCCCCAACCTCATAAAATCATTTGGTTCATGACATTCCAACAATTTCAGCCCAAAATCTTGCAATCTGTGGTGTTCTGGCAAGAGCTCATGAGACGTTGAAATGTTGCAAGATTCCAGCCATTCTGGGGGCTTGCAGGTACCATCCAACAGAGCCAGTTGGGTGTTAGAAACCAGGAAATTTAGGCACGAAGCCAGCTGGGGGATTTTGGGACAGTCACCCCCTCTCAGCCCTAGGAAGAAGGCAGAGACAAACCACTTCCAAAAGTATTGGCAAGAAAACTGTATGGCCTATTTCGTGTAGCCACCAGGAGTCAAGACTGAACTGAAGCCACAACCCCACCATCACCACCACAAAAACACACACAAAAGATGTCATCTAATGGTGTTGGGAACTCCTGTCCCTGAGGTATTCCATAGCCCACAGAATCAGGAGAAGTCTAGTAGCACCTTTTCCCATTCACAAATGTTATTAAAAGGCATAAGTTGCTACTCACGAGCTTCTGCCTTTTAATAAAATATCTTAGTTGGAAAAGGTGCTACCAGACTCCTATTACTTTTTTGCCATTACAGACCAAAAGAACTCTCTCCCTACCATATCAGACAGCCAGTTTCCCTTTGGACTTCACCTGCTGCACCCAGCCCTCCTTCCATCCCAGAGGAAATGCCACGACTTAGCTACATGATACTGACTTTCCAGGATCAATTTATAAACAAGTCTTGTTGGAAATGTTGGAAAATGGCAGGATGCAGAATACAGGTAGTTCTCACTTAACAACCATTTGTTTAGTGACTGTTTGAAGTCACAACAGTGCTGAACAAAGGGACTTACAACTGGTCCTTGCACTTACAACCGTCGCAGCACCCCTGTGGTCATGTGATCACAATCTGAGCACTTGGCAACCAGCTCGCACTTATGATGGTTGCCGAATCCTGGGGTCATGTGACCACCATTTGCGACCTCCCCAGCTGGCTTCTGACAAGCAAAATCAATGGGGAACTGTGTGATTCACCTAACAGCCACGGTGATTCACTTCATGACCGCTGCAAAAAAGGTCGAAAAATTGGGTGTGGCTTGCTTAACAAGTGCCTCGTTTAACAACAAATTTTCTGGTCCCTATTGTGGTTGTTAAGCGAGGACTACCTGTAAGACATTGGTACATCCCCTGGAAGAACACCCAGACCCAAGTTAGGGATATCCACACAAGGATTCTGGGGTATATTGGAAGAGCAACAAATATTCAGCTGTTTATTATTGTAAGTACAGAACAATCTAGATCAAAATGTCTCAAGTCCACAAGGGGCCACCACCAACTTTCAAAATGGAACAATGCAAGTAGAAGAAAACTTCAAACACTTCAAAGTCTCTTGAGACAGACTGCTGAAGGGCACCCAGAAACAGGCCACTGTTGCACAGGTGGGCCAAAGCAAATCATGTTAGCATCCAATGTCCTGAAATCATGGTGGCTAATTTCAGGGCACTGAAGTTCCTATGTAATGGAAGCTCTTGCCAGGACCTTTCTGTTGTCTCCTAAGTCAGCAAAGTGGTTTACCTTACAGCTGCTGTCGTTGTAACAGTACCATTTGTCATTTGGGTTTTTGGCATAGGTGACGTAATGGCCTCCTCCCATAATTCCTGAATGGCACTGGAAGAGAGAGAGCCAAGACACCAAGGTTATCAGGAGGGCCCAGGTTCCAGAGAGTCAAGTCATCCATCCTTTCCTTTCTGCCACATGTAGGTGGAATTAACCAGGTGTCAACATCATTTTAGAACATTGTGTCTTCTTGCTTTTATGCATCTCAAAGGTTCCTCAAGACCCATTAGCCTTCAACAAACTTTCTCCCAAAAGGCAACAAAGAAAGGATATTTGGCCTTGATGGACAAGAATGCTCAGGGAGATGGTCTTACAGCAGCTGAGTTATGCTGGAGAAGATTTTGTGAGCAAGGTGGAAATCCAAGATGGCAATGGTGTGGATTTCTTTCCCTTCAAGGGAAATGCAGATCTGTGATTGGGGGACTGTTGAGGATTATGGGCACCATTTTCTATCTCTCTTTACTGCTCTCAAAGTTGGGCTTCAGCTGTCTTCCCATGGGCAAAGCTTCTACCAACTGTGGGAAGAATCAGACTGGTGGCTGTTCCCACAGATGCCCCCAAGATGTTTGGGATTACAATTCCAATCAGATATCAGCCAGCCTGCCCAATGACAAGCAGTCTTGGAAACTGCACTGCACAACCCACCAAGGGCAGTGGGTTCCCTTCGTCTATTCTACATAGTTGCTCAGCTTCTCTGAGCAATAATCTCGAGATTATCTTCCACTGCTTGCCCTAAGGATACTTTTCCCCAGTTACTTCCCAGTATACAAGATCTTGATGGCTGTAGGTAAGGAAACAGACAGAAGACAGTGTCAAATACCTATTTTCTTTCCCTCAGGCTGGATTTGCACAACACAATAGACTAAAGAATGACATTTAGAAAGTAACTGAAAACCTAGTTATTCTCCTAGGCCTGGAGGTAGGGTGGCTTTGTTTCTTACGTATAGTTTGTCTTCTGGATGCCTATGATCCATATGTTTCTTTTCATTGTGTCCTGCTTTCTAAAGTGTAAGTCACCCAGAGCTGTTGGAGTTGGGTGACTTTAAAATCATATAAACAAAGTAGTTTGTAGTTCCAGGTGCTGTGAGAACCCAGCCGTTATCTTAGAAGCTTGTAGGAACCAGCCATTATATGCCATCAAAGAGAATGTATTTGTTTAAGCACGTGTTAAGTGAACTGGCAGTTTAGAGTTTAGCAAGTGGTGCGAACCAAATCTCGCTTATGATGGGTTTTTTTTATTGCTCCCACTTGCCACACTAGAAAGGGGGGGGAAAATCCTATTAAGATAAAGACAGATCTCCTGCTCCATTTGTGAAGGGGAACTAGTACAGGGAAGAACAAAAAAGACTCTGGGAAAAAGTGGGGAGGTGGGACAGATCCTCTTCTAGATTTTTTAACCCAGGTTTTGAAAAACAACCCCAAACTGGTCTGAGGTTTGCCAAGGAAGCGAAGGCAAGGCTTCATTTCCAGAAAGAGAACCACAGAGGACACAGACTTATCGTACAACGTTTTCTATGCCATTCATCCTATGGGAAGGGCAGACTGACAAAGCGGCACTGGATGGAAAACAGTTCATGGTATCCTGACTGGCTTGCAGAAATAATTGTGCTAACTAAGCCTGGATAGACATTGGTGGACCCCCTTGCCCCCCTTCCTCAGTGCTCCTCCACTTGGGGTGCTTTAAATGCACCCCTTTGATAACCCATCAGGGCCCTTTATACAATGGCTCAGCCAAAATCTGAGCTGCGAAGAAACTGATCGAGCCTCTGCCCAGTTGACAATTTTTGCCGAGACACCTACCGAAATTGCATATAAGTTGTAAATGGGATTAATACAGATTTCTCCTCTTTGGTCATCCGCCAGCTCCTCTTCCCGGCGGGTTTCCAGTGGACCGTTGAGGCTGTTGTTGCTGTGAGAGCTCTGCTTGCAAAGGTACCCGTTGGTTAACTGCATCTCATTGTCCTGAGCAGCCCCCAGTTCACCTGAGCCATCCCCCAAACTCTGCTCCCTGCCCGAGGAGTCCCCTTGGTCAAGCGCGGCCTTTGGGTCTGGCTGGGTACCGTTCTCTCGGCTTGTGTCCAGGTTCTCTTTGCTGCTCGACAGTTTGTTTTTACAGAGCTGGGGGAGCCGAAGGCGCCCCTTACCTCTGCCCAAAGTCCTCGGGCTATTGGTTGGACTAAGGTTTTTACTCGGTGAAGAGCTGGATGCACACTTCCTTGCGGAGGACGGTGATGCTGAAAAGAAAGAGATGGGCAGGTGTTTTGCAGGTAAGTCAATCCTTCTCCCCATGATCACAAGCAATGACAACTTCTTATTAGGCAAGACTTATGCTATTCTGCAGGAAAAAAAAAATCAATCCTTTGGGCCAGTCGCTCTCTCTCATCTCAAGCTACCTTGCAGGGTTGCTGTGGAAAAAAAACCTGGAGTCTTATGCAGATCACCTTAAGTTCTCATAGGAAAGCTGGGGTATTTATCAGATAGATAGGGAGGGAGAGTAAGGAAGAGGATCTTGACAGAAATATGCAGGGTCTGTTGCATAGGCAAAATGGGTTGAAACATTTTTTAAGTTTGGAGCATCCGGATAACATTCAGAAGTGGCTCAGATTCATTGGAGTTTAATGAATTTAATTCATTGGAGGAGGAGGAGGAGGAGGAGGAGGAGGAACAGCGCAATCAGACTTGCAAGATTCTGTTATTACAGCCAATCTCCATAAAAGTAGTTTTAGCCTTCCTGTGGAGTTGATTTCCTGGTTTAAGTCTACTTAGTGGGGCTGACATGGATGCATTGATGGATGGATGGATAGGAATTTGTTTGAAGTATGCCCTCCTCTTCCTCCATGAGCACAAGGCAGGGTACCCAGGGGTCACCCCTCATTTTATCCTTGCCACAACAATCCTGACAGGTAGGCTGGGCTGAGGGAGAACACCTAATCCAAACTCACACAGGGAGCTTCCTTGGTTGCGGGGGAGGGACTTGATTTTGGGTTTCCCACTGTGTAATGACTTTGACTTCACTGCGTTGGATCTTAAAAACAAGACTGATAAATACAGCATCAAACAAGCCATGGAGAAGCCCGCTGCTATGGTAGTTAAGTGTGAGTGTCCTCCCTTTTCGAACTTCGGCTCTAGAAGGATGTGGCTGTGGATAAGCAGATCCCAGAGATGAACGTATGCAGTCAGGCACAGCCTTTGGGAATGGATGGCATAGAGAGTGAGTGAGTGAGTGAGTGAGTGAGTGAGTGAATGAATGAATGAATGAATGAATGAATGAATGAATGAATGAATGAATGAGAAAATGAGAAAATGAGACATGCAGCCAGAATATGCAAAGACCTGCCCATCTGCTCAAGGCTCAAAGCTTTTCCTGGTTTTATCTAGTTGATTTTCTGATTGGCTCCCACCCTCCTGGAACAATAAACATAAATATGATCTTGATAGTGAATACTAAATATTTAGTCTTTTTCATTAGCTGCAGCAGTAGAAAAGTAGGATGAACTCTTTAAATAAACACACATGTGAGGTTTTGCCAAGCCCCCCTCCCCAAGAATCAGCTCCCTTTCAGGAGAGGAAAGGACAGACCAAGGCCTCTCTAGATCAAGATGATGTTGCTCATTCTATTCATGTGCCAGAATACTTTACTGAATCCCAAATACTGGATATTTAACTTCATGCAATCCTTACAGCAAACCTTCAAGGCAACCGAGTGTCTTTAATTCCGGGTCACTGATTAAAGTTTAAGTGCTCCACAGTGAAGTTGTGGCAATGATGGGATTCCAGCCAGAGAACCAAGACTTGCTAGATCAACTACTTTTACACACAGGGGCTGGGAGGAAGGCATGGGAGAAGAGGTTCCTCCCTTGCAGGCCCTCCTTGGGGCTGCTTCAAGAGGACACTTGGAGATTCTGTTGCTCTCCTTTCTGCTTAGTGAAAGGCACCTGCTTTCACAAAGGAATGTTAGTTTCCACCAAAAGATGTACTTTTTGCGTGGGCGGGCCAGACAGCCAAAGCCATGACTCATGCAGAGACACACCTTCAGCCTCCTTTTACATTTCTGCTGCACGTCAGCTTCAAGAGTCTGGACAGATCCCTTCTGAATGGGGATCCAGCAGCTCTTGTTTAATGCCCTCCAGGACAAGCCCCAGCCCCCTACCTCGAATATTATTAAGGATGCCGGAAGTGTTGAGAGAGGAAGGGCTCCTGGTGAGAACGTCGCCCTCCCCAGCCACAGTGATGCTTCGCTGCTCCGTCCTCCGACACTCCTCCTGCAGAATCAGCGGCTCCGCGGGATCGTCTGCCTGTGGCGTCAGCAGCTTTTGCGGCCAGCAGCTTGGATCTCTTGGCATCAGGAAGGCACTTGGGTCAAAACTCTCACGGGGAAACTTGACGATTTTCTGGGACTTTATCCAGCGGCCGTTGACAAACTGGAAGCGCTTTAAGTGGATGATCTAGGGCAAGATAAGCCAGAGAGGGGTCTAGCGAGGGCTTCCTTTTTCAAATGACTTCCAGTTATGGGTTTGCTAGGCCCTTTCGGCACTACAGGTAGTCCTCACTTAACAACCGTTTACCGATGGTTTGAAGTTACGATGGCCTTGGAAAGGGTGTTTTACGGCCTGTAAAGCACTTCTGGCTGTTCTAACCTCCCTGCACTTCTGGCTGCACCACCCCACCGTCACATGGCTGCATTTCAGACGCTTGGCAACTGGCTCACATTTATGACTGGTTGCCAAGCGCCCCGTGATCATATGATCACCATTTGCAATCTTCTCTGCCGACTTCCCCATTGGAAGCCAGCAGGGAAGGTCGCAAGCGGAGGGGATGCGGCAGTGTGCAGGAACGGAGCTCAAATCCTGAAGATTTGAGCTCCGTTCCTCCAGCCCCCACCAAGGATTTCCCCTCCATCCACGGAGAGGAGGGCAAACCTTTTGGTGGGCTTTAGGAACGTTTGAGAGCAAAAAGGCTGCCTGCCAGGAGGATTTCAGCTCTACATGGAACTGAAACCCTCTGGCAGGCAGCCCTTTTGCTATCAAAGAGCTGTCTGCTGGGAGGGTTTCAGCTCCATCCTTCAGCAGACAACTCTTTTGTTGTGTCTGCTTAACGACCTGTGAGATTGCTTAACGGACACAACCGGAAGTGCCCGGATTGCAGTTGTGTGAAGCAGCCACATGGGTGTCTCACTTAATGACTGCTTCGCTCAACAACCGAGATTCCTGTCCCAATTATGGTCGCTAGGCAAGGACTACCTGTATATAATCTGCGGATCTATTACCCAATTTTACAGATGAGAAAAACTGAGACAGAGAGACCCAGAACTGGCTATGAGGGTTGAAGTGGCACTTTGGGAAGGATGCATTCACTGTGTGTGCGTGTGTATGTATCCGCGTGTAGGGGAAGAGAGAGAAAGAGAGGGAATGGAGGAAGTGAGATAGACAGCACATGCTTGATTTGACACAAATTCTTATTTATCCTTGTACAGCTTAGATTAGAGGTCCCAAATCATTTTTTGGCTTAGGGACACATTTTCAATTTTCAGAACAAGCACAGTGGTTGCCATGGAGGCTCTTGCAAACAGCCCAGGAGGCAAGCTGGTGCAGCCGCTCACTTCCTGTCCCCTTGAGCTCCAGGATGCTCTCTAACCCCTCTTTTGTTTTTGCCTTCTTTTTCTGAAGAGGTGGGCACCCTTCCAAACAACATCTGGGCTTCAGGAACCCATCCTTCTAATATCCTGAGAATGTCTCAGGGATCCATTCGAGATCCAGGAGATGGGGCATCTCTGTTGGGGCACCTGCCCTATGGAACAATCTGTCCCCGAGATTCAGATGGCCCCATCCCTATTAGCCTCTGGAAGGGCTTGAAGACCTGGCTTTTTCCTCAAGACATTAGTTGAGCCTGGTATATTTTGTGTTAAGCTTCAGTAGCACTACATTCTTGTGTTATTCTGTGTGTTATGTATTGTTAACCATCCAGAGTCACTAGATGGAGATGGATGGTCAGATACACTCTTTAAATAAACAATGCAGAATCTATTCTGCTCTTCTTCAATCAGGTGCCCCCCGCCCCAAATGTGTTGCAAAAGCAACTCCCAGAATTCCTCACCAGCATGGCCAGAGGGAATTCTGGAGCTGTAATCCCCATCCACTTCAAGGGTGCCAGGTTGGGAAAAACTGGTATATTATTAACCCCTTGTAAGAAGCTGTGCTTGGCCTGGCTGAAGGCAGAAAAGAAATGGTTTGCCATCATACCAGGATTGGGGGAAGCCTCCACAGGTCCAGCTTCTTGGTGGCCAAGCAGTGAGTCCTGCACTTGGAACAATAGTACATTTCATCTTCACCTAGCTCCTCCTCACTCGTGAAGGCCCGCAAGCAGCTGTCCAGGTTGATGGGCTCGGCCTGAGCGCGCTGGCTTTGCTCCACACTTCTGTGCTCCTCTGCTATCTAAAGACAGAAAGGAAACCATAGGGTGAGAGACCTTTCTGTAGCGGTTTCCCTCTATGGGAAAAGCAGCCCTTCCCCCTTTGTTCTAATTCATGGGCAGAATTCCTCCGTCTCCTTCAAGGAAGAGATTCTTCAACATTAACATGCTGCTCCATGGGAGTCCTTTGGAAAGGCATCCCTGTGAGGAACAGCACACATCATCCACACCAAAGCTGCACAGCAACACTCCCAGAGGTAGTCAATGGAGGGGAATTGTGGCTTGGTAGCAGGGGATCACATTGCATCCAGGAACCATCTGGGTTTGATCTCAGTACTTCCAGATAAAAGGATCAGTTAGCAGGAGATGGGAGATATCTTACATGGAGAACCTTGATGGACCAACAGGGGGGACCTGCAGCCCAAGGCCCTGGAGGCGGTGAAAGCCCCTGGCTCATGCTGGATGGGAGTGAGGAATGGCATGGAAGAGGAGGAAGCAAACGGGGAGAAAGGCAGAACTGATGCAGTGATGGAAGTAGAGGGAGGTGATCAGGTCAAAGCTCTGGCTGCAGTGATTTGTTCCTCCTCAGGAACCCCCTGAGGGGACTGGGAAGAAAGAAACGGACATGGCTGGTGTGGGTCTTCCAGGCTGAAAAGGAAAGGACAGCTTGCATAGATTGGCTCCAGATAATTAATTAGAACTGCAGCTACTTCATTTGCTGCTTGTTTTGTGTTTTTCTACTCTCCCACCCAAGGAAATTTATGAAGTCTGATAAAGACCAAAGAACTTTCAGATGCCATTTTAAATTATTTTCAGTGGAACAGTTCAGAAACACTTTTGGTCTGAGAATCACAAACAGAAATCGTGATTCTCTTCCAAGACAACCACAGAAACCTTGCTCCATCACACAAATGGAAAGGCGATAGACCCTGGCAAATTGCTTTCATTGAGAGAGGATGTCTCAGAGAAACCAGCTGTGTCCTTCTAAAGCAGCCTTCTCTAAATGGGTGACCCTCTCTACCTGCTGCTGGAACTACATGCCACCACCTCCCAGCAGCTTGGCCAGCCAGCAACCAGGACTGGCTGGAGACAATAGAAGCCAGTCTTCAACCCATTTGGAGGGGCAAAAGGTTGGAGAAGGCTGTGATAGAAGATTCAAGTCCCTTCCCTTTAATTGTGATGGACCTAAAGGACCTAGAGTTTAGCTTCAGAGGAAAACCTGGCATAAAAGCAAGTTCACAGGGAGTGGAAACACAACAGAAGTCCGGTGGGTAAAGAGAGGGTCAATCTGATTTGCAAAGGAAGGCCAGTGCCGCAACAGAACATCCAGAAACCATGTTTAACTGCAAGGCAAACTTATATGCAACCATAAGCAAGAATCGGCCTGGGATGACCCTGAAGGTTTTGGTTTCTTTACCCGTTCTTGTGAGGTCTGGTAGCGGAGATGAAGTGCAGTGGGATCCCAGTCGACAGCGAGGTTTGCATTCCCCATCACAGCTCTTTCTTCTGTGCAATCAATTTTACACCCGTAGCAAAACCTAAACAGGAGGCAGAGGTGGAGATGGAAGAGAGCAGAGGAGGGACCGTGGCCTGAGAGGCAGCCGCCTCTCTGCCGCAGAGAAGACCCCCATCAGAAGGCCGCGGAAGTGGGCTTCAGAAGATGACTGGAGCCAAACGGCTCCTTGCAGAGCAGCCCATTTTCACACCTCCACAAAACCGCCCTCGCAAAGGCAGGAGAGGGCAGAAAGACAGAGGGGAAGAGAAGGGAGAAGGTGAGACACAGTGCCACTCACCTGTACCAGGGGCACCAGGCACAGGAGTTGCCATCTTTCTGAACCACTCGAAGAGTGAAGGGGTACTGGTATCCCAAACTGTCATCACTAAGGAAAACACAGACACACGCACATCATTATTTCTAATGTGTAAAGGCTCTTAGGATGTTATTTCTGTTGTTGCTCATTGATCTTTTAAGCCAGGGTGGGAAACCAGCCAGCCTTGGACTCAAATCAAGAACCCTCAACACGGGGCCTTTGACAACAGCCTGAACGGAAAGGGGGCAGATTGTTTTTGATTTAGCCCCATTTGGTTTGGGGTGAAGTCCCCAACAGATGATCCATATAGCCCTACAGACTTGTCCAATGCCACAATAATAATCAAGAATGATTAATCCACATCTTTTTCTTGTGTGATTTTTATAGCATCCCTATTAAAACCAAAGGTCTTGGCAGAGCGTTGGCCTGGTATCCAATACTCCTTAGATGGGTGCAAACCAAGATATTCCCAAATTTCTCTTTTTCTGCCAAGAGAGCCCATCAATAAAGTATACCACAAGCTAAGTTTTGTCCTGGATTACCTGAACTATTTACTTATTATATATGATTTACTCTTTTCTCATTTTTTAAACTCCTTGTGTCTTTTTCGAGTTGAAATGGCTGACTGAAGTATAACAGAGACATCCTTTGATTATCAAAAAGTCCCTTCTCTCTCACCCACTCAGAGATCTTATCCTATGTTAAATAAAGACTGAAAATGTCTAACCAGCCCAAAGTCATCTAGTGAGCTTCAAGACTGAGAATTTGGATTTGTCAGCTGAAGGCCAATACTCCAGCAAGCCATATGGGCTCTTCTTGTCACATATGCAGCTTGGCTCACTTTTTTGAGATGTTCAAAAGTACTGCTCTGCAGCCATATTAGTGGCTCAGCAATTCCTCATCCCAGCACAGGACTCACCAATCCTGAGCATGGTTACTTGCTTCCTGGGGAGGGAGGGGACTTGCAAGTCGAGAAACCTGAATCCAGACAGCATCATACAAGTCTTTCTTCCGCGTGTGAACTGTGCAGGGAACGATCAGGGGCATCCCAAAGAGGCTTGGCCGGTTCTTCTGAGATGAGAGGAAGTACATTTCGGCCCGCATCTGCAGTCAATGGGAAAACTTTAAAAATCCAGGTGTATTTTAAAAGTTAGGAACAATTCATAGGCTTTTCTTTTCTAAAACAATTGATGGGCTGTCTTTCAAGTGGGGTCCAAAAACAGTAACAATAAAATGCTGCAAAAACAGCAGAGTTGGGAATAAAAGCTAGACCAGGCTGCAAGGTCCAACAAAGAGTTCCTCAACAGTAGAGACGTTAGATTCGAAGCAAGCAACATTAGACAGGACATTACATATGAACCTGTCCTTCTGGAAACACCAAAATGCATCGATTATTTATTTATTTGTCAAATTTGTCACTCCCTATCTCATTAAAAAGCGACTCTGGGCAATTTACAGAAAAGAGAATTATTAATTAAAAACACAATATAACAATAGTCCTAAATAAATAATAAGTATATTCCAAGGATTGATGGTAACTAGAGAGTATTAGGCTTGGAGAATAAAGCAAATTAAAACATATCTCACTCGTATCTCTTGGTACAGCTCAGGAAGGTCAGTAACCTGAGACCATGAAAAATTGCTGACAATACAAGAGAATATTTATGCTAGTCTTGTATGATCATTATCATGATCTGGAAAGAATGGCTGCCTCTGAGACCAGACCCTTCGGCCACCTCATCTGCAGGGATCCTGGGATCAGGCCTTCTCAGTTGTTGGCCCCTTCTCTGGAACAGTCTCCCCCCACCCCCAATCTGGGATGGGCCCCAACCCCATGCTTTTCATAAAGCAATTAAGATCTAGGAGTTTCAAAGGGCCTTTGGGGGGAGGGAAAGGCTATATTCGCTCCCTCTTGCAGGGTGGATATTTATACAGGATGTATTTATCCTACATTGTTTTTTAACAGTGATGTTTAATGTTGTTGTATGCTAGCTTCACTAGTTTCCAATTAGCTGGCTTTGCAAAGTAAAAGAGGAAGAAGAGGAAGAAAGAGAGGAAGGGGGAGAAGTAATCATTGTTATCATGGCTGCTTCTCTAGATCAGTGTTTCTCAACCTTGGCAACTTAAAGATGTGTGGACTTCAACTCCAAGAATTCTCCATCCTGCAGGGCACCAATCTTGGAGTTGAAGTCCACACATCTTAAAGTTGCCAAGGTTGAGAAACACTGGGTTAGATTAAAGGAACAGTTCCTTGTTACAACAGCATCGTTTCTCAGCATACAAGAATATCCTTGCTCAAACAAATTCGAAGGCCACCTGATCTATGGATCAATTTTTACTATTTCCCCAAGAGGTCTGGAAATGAAGTATCTAAACAACTTTATACAGTCACTCAGCCAGCTGTGATCACAAATGGAGGTCCTTTGTTGGATATTCCTGCCTTCAGTGATAGGGGAGGTGGCTATCAGGCAGAGAGGGACCTTTCTGAGGTCCCCCCAACAGATCCACAATCAATATTTTATTACAGCCACAGACCAGAATTGATCCACAAACAAATGGTCATAGGTGAAAACTCCAGCATGAGTACAGTTCATGTCTGAAACCCAGATACACTTTCCAAATAGCTGATGGTCTTCTCCAAGTTTTGGCTATAGCTACTTCATCTGAAACAGACAAGGCATCTTACAGGTTTTAGCAATGCTTGTTCTCCACTAACCATTTTCCTGTGGACTGCAATGATGTAGCCTATGAATGGGCTGTCGGAAGGTGAGGTCACATGGCCATTCATTGTCACACCATTCTCTATCCTGCAGGGCACCACTGTGTTTGGCATTCCATTTGGGATCAAGGTGGACCGTGGAAGGTCACCATTCATCAGGCAGTTGATCATCCCATTAGCCGACTGTCCATGGTAAAAATCTAAACTCAGGCACAAAAAGATTGTCATGAAAATTTGTTCTGGTATGCAGTCCTTTGCTTAAGGATCCTTTTTGATCTCTAGCTGGGCAAAATCTCTAGCTACTTCATAAAAAGGAGATCCATTTTCTTTACTAAACAGAAGTGAAAAAATAAAATTAAAAAGAGAACAGAACTAACTTACTCTTCCTCACATACTGTCTACATCTACCTACATTCTATGTTGGACTTCTCCAAATTCTGCAGTAAGAACAGTTGGATTCTACAACAAGTATTAGTTGAACAAGTTTGCACGATTCCTCATTCAACAGTATTTTGATTTTGCCAGTCCTGAGAGGGCTAAAATACTGGATCTCAGTGCTTGCATCGGGGTCTACCAGATGAGACTGCAGGAGAGGAATAATATGATTGAGTGCTACCAATGGATGGAGAGAAACAAGACCAGCTCTATTCTCTTGTTTAGTTCTTCGAAAAAAAGGGAGGGGAGAGTCGGGGAAGGGGAAGGTTGGTTCTCTATGTCAGGGCCACTGGCTGAGACAAACAAGAAGAGGACATCTAAGTGGAGGAATTTTTTATGTCAATCAATTCCCATCATTCCTGCATTTTATTCTGCATTAAACACTTCCATGGTGCTCACTTTCACCCTCAATGTTAAGCAACAGTAACGCACTGCCAGTTTGTCAGACAAAACTCCCAGCGGGGGGGGGGGGGAGGAGGGGGACAAAAAGACCAAGGAACTTTCTCCTACCTGTTTGCAAGGGACTTGAAGAAGCTGAAGTGGGGGATCCAGGAATTGGTATCTCGAACGCACACAAAGAGGCAGTTGTGGAATGCCGGACTTTTTGGTTGTCTTGCGGAAAGTTCTTTTGAAAGTGGGGTGGGGGGAGAAACAACAGCAGCAACAAAAGAGATTAAAGCCAGGAGCAATGAATAATTAAGACTACACTTCAGAGAGCTGTATAGGAAGCTGAGGTATTCTGTGCCCCAACAAACAGCAAAAGCAAATGCTTCTCAAAAGGTTTTTGAAACCCAGGGGAGAGTTGAAAGCTGTTTTCAAAAGCGCAGAAGCAGCTGAAGAGAGAATTACAAAAGACAGGGGAGCAGATTTGACTCAGGCGCATCTGTTGTCTCGACAGGAGATAATGTAATGAGCTCCCTGGCCAATGCTTCCTCTCTAACTTAGCCTGTAAGATCTAAAGATAGGACGGGCACATATAGGGGAAACATCTCTATATAAACTCAAGCTTGATTCTCTGAATTTCTTCTTAACGGCAGGAGAGCGAAATCCTGTTGTTATGTTCTCTACAGGTTGCTAATGAAACAGGAGTTCGTGGCAGAGTTAACTTTAAAACAGGGTTGTGCAAACTGCCTTGGACGCTGCCCTCAAGAGCCTCTTAATCACTGCCACTGAAATTTTAATGTAAAGTTTAAAATTTCTTAAAATTAATCATAGGTTTTGTGATATAACATGTTTCTTGGAATGTAGCTGTTGGCCTGCCTTCAAAAGCCAAATGAGCTCCTTGGGGTGAAAAAAGTTCTCTAAAATATGTATTTATGTTGTTTTATTAATCTCTCTAACTTTAAAACCAAGAGCCATTCTTTGCACTACTAAAGGTTTTGGAAATACGGAAGCCAATACAGTTCTAAGATTAAAACAAATCTTTAAAGTTACCTGTCAACTCAAAAGATCACAATAAAGGAACCAGCAAATAAAATGACAACACACAATTAAAAAGAAAAGAAAATCAACAAAAGAGATCAGCAGCAGCAGCAGCAGAACCCCCCCATCACTGCCCCCAAAGATTGACACTCTTCCCCAAACTGATGCTGTCCAGATAGTTTAGGTTTCAGTGCCCATAATCCACAGCCACTATCACCAAGGTTCATTCTGGCTGGGTATTTTGGAAGCTGAAGTCAATCTCATTTGGAGGACACCAAGTTGGGGAAGGCTGCCTTGGAAGAAGAGATTTCCTCTGCTGGGGTGGCATCTCAGTCCTGTTCCTCTTCACTACCGGCCTTTCTTCTGATGGTGGAAGTATTTAAAGCCTGGCCTCATTAAATGACCTCAGGAAGGTCTGACCTGGAGAATGGTAGTTGGACTTCATATGCAGGTTCTTTCCAGCCACCAAAAGATGGACTCAACAGGAAAGATGGATCCAACAGGAAAGAACCCCACCTCTTCAAGCTAGAAGCCAAGCTAAATACATCTAACTGTCCTGTGGAGGAAACCCCTCCCTTCAGTCCCAAGGGCATGGGAAAGCAGAACAATGCCATATATTTAGCAAACACTAAGTAGTTAATCATTTGGCCTTTGGTTGCTTGAATTGTCTCTGAATCTATCTGCTTCTTGTAGGGTGGGACTGTCAGATCCATTGTTTGGTGACTGATAAGCTACTTCTCAATAAATCCAACTACTGTTCTTGGTCACTGAAGATGAATCTGATGGGAAAGGGAAGTACTACAGCAGGATTAAAGCACCCTCTGTAACACCATGTGCCTGAAGGCTTTATCTGCAGAGGCACCCTTGTCTATCTTATATGCTTAATGACCATCAATGCTGCCCTCCTGAGTGTTCTAGCAGTAATCCTTCTGTTAGAGTTTTGGATGAGGCCAACCCGTTCCCACAACCAAGTCAGCTCTGATGCCAAAGGGAAGCTGATCTTGGCTCAACTGCCAGAGCAACACATTCCCTGATCCACCTGCTGATGTATATCACTCATTTTCCAAGGTTTCCTGTTTTGTAGGAGACAAATAGGTGTTCAGTCCTCCATCCCTCTATACAGGGGTTGTGTCTCTTCTATACCCTTAGGGTTCCATTGAAATATACCCATCGACCAGGGGTGGTCAACTTTTGCATTCAACTGTAGAAGCGTCACTACCTTTATGTTTGAACTGTGTACTTCTGCAAGGAGGATCTGATCTGGCTTCAGGGCACAAAGTTCACTCAGGTGCTTCTTCAAGTCGGAGTACTTCTCGTCCATATTCAGCCTGAGTCCATATCGGACAGGAGTCGTGCCGTCTAGCTTAGTTACTTGAAGAACAAAATAGAGAAAAATAGGGAGAGAAAGAGAGAAAGTGTGTACTTTTAAAAGCTTTAACTTTTTTAAAAGTTAACTTTTTAACTTTTTAAGAATAGACAGTCTTCTACTTATGAACAGATTACGTTCCAAGAGGCTGTTCAGAATGCCATTTTGTTTATAAGTCCAATCGTGGCATGCCGCATATATACGCATGCGTGCTGTAAACTTCTGGATGTACGTATACGGCACATTATATACTTCCAGGTGTATGTAAGCATGAGCACTGTAAACTTCCAGGTCCTTCCTTCCAGGACCTTCATTACTGAAGTTGTTGGAGGCTTGTTCATATCAGCGAAAGTTCGTAAATCAAAAATTTGTAAGTAGAGGACGGTCTGTACTTTTCAAAAGTACTTTTAACAGCAAAATGGGATGGGATTGATAAGTCAAGAGATTCCCATTCAGCTGCTCCTGATTAGGAAACTACCATCTCTTGATCCAGCCCAGAAGAACTTGCCTTGAACCTTAAAGCATCTGAGAAAGCTGCTTTTGTCTGGGGAGAGGCCTTCTAACCTACTTGCCCTGGTGAAAACCATCTCTCATGTTTACTGATCTTCATACTCCACCTTTTCATAAAAATCACAATCTAATTGCTTTGGGTGATGTCATATTATAGGTATTACTCATATCTAAGAGGGGGAGAGTAAATTCTTGCTCAGAATGTCTGCTCATTTTGTGACTTTGTCCAACTTGCTCTACTTTGTCACTTTTGCATCCCATCTTAGCTCCATAAGCTAAGCTACTCTGACAAATATTTGGATATCAGCTGCATTAGAAGGTAACATTCTAATTTTTACTAATATTCCAGCTAAGAAAAAGGAAAAGGGAAGCAGAGTTGGTTACTACTTAGATGGGAGACTACTAGGCTGTACGCTCAAACTAGGTACTCAAACAACTTCCTAGAAGAGAACAACGGGACACCACTTTTGTACTGTTGCCAAGAAAACTGCATGGACATGCCCTGAAGTCACAAGGAGTCGAATTGATTCAAAGAAGACTTGACTTTATGTTCTGGCCTACAAATATATGTCTAATTCTAGCCCCTCCCCAATTCTTAAATTCCTTAAATCCCTCTCTTGCACAGTGCAAAAGCAAAATGAAAAATTTCAGATCTACATTGGAAGCACAGGTTGATAACTTGTATAAACAGAAAATTAGACAAAGCAGACAACGGTAGGTAGTCATTTCCAAAATCACACCTCTGACATTTTCTGGGCACAGTCAGAACATGTGGAAGCATTTCCTTCCGACTGGTGCCTTCCAGATTTGCCAGACTTCAACTCCTATCAGCCTCAACCAGCCTGATCAAATGGACGATGGCTGTCATGATTTGGAATTATCAGAGTTGAAAAGATCATTTTCCCAGGTAGATTCTACACACCCAGTCTGGCTGACCAGGAAGTGCCTGAAGTCCCATTCTATTGCAAAGATGTTTGAGGTTGTTGGGTGTGTGTGGAGAGTGTCTTCTCCTTTGGAGCAGCCAGCCCCCAAGTGAGGTTATCTCCCACTTTCCTGGACTTCTGGAAGCTTATATAAACTTGCCTTTTCCAGAAGCCCCTTGGAGATTGGTCAACGTGAAGTCACTGGCACCAGAATCAGTTTTTATTTATGTGTGTAACTTTATATTTATAATGTATTGCTTTTATTATCTGGATGTTGTACATTGCTGATAGCCCCTGCAGACTGAGGTGGTAAATAAACCCCATTAATAAATAAAAATAAAGAAAGCCCAACATATCTGGAAAGTGCCAGCTGGAGAGAGCTGCCCAACTCTTGGTATCTTCCAACATCCAAACAGAACCTTGTCCCCCCGCAACAATCACATGGAGGGCAGCAATTCAGATTCCTTACTAACCTATTATTTCTATGTGCATGTAACTGTCCATTGGAAGAGGCAACGATAAAAAATTAAAAGGGTCAAAACGAACGCTGATGTGTCCACAGGTCTTGCATTTCACCTGGGACCTCAGCTGCCCGTGGAACAGGTCGACCACAATTGAGCGGTTCCTTCTCAAATGATTCTCCCAGGCCTGAAACGAAAGGAAAATGAAAATAAAACCTTTGCAGTAAATTGGCAGACCCAAGCAAAAAGGTGTGCCTGAAAACTTTAGAAGATAGCAGGGTGAGATTTGGGGCTATCAGATGGGAGAAAGTTGATTTCATTTGGAAAATCATTTCACAGTAAGAGAGCCATCACTCCAATTTAGCTTGCTTTACTTCAGATCACAGAGGGGTGGCTAATATGATGGAAGACGACTTTGTACAGATGGGAAGTAATGAGGGCTATCATCACCCCCCACCTCCCCATCCCTACTTGTAGAAAACCAGCATGTCAGCAAGAAAGTGGCAGGGAGAACATTTCATGACAAGCTTATTTTTTTGGTGCACAGTTTTTGAGCCCCCCCCCCCCCAAAACACCCCCCGATAACCCCCCCCTCAA